GCCCAGATGGTTCTCCCAACAAGTCTATCTCGCAAACACCTTCTTGATGTAGTTGTTTCAATAACGTATTGTGCGATATTTCCCTCTTTCTTCTCTCTGCTTCCAAGTTAATCTCTTCTTCAATGTCCGCTATACCATCATCCTCTTCTCCATCAAATGTCCCTCTAGATGTTTGGCTCTCTTCACATTCCAACACACATGATCCGTCTTCATTATCCTCTATTTCTTCCTCTTCTTTCTCTTTGTTTTTGAACTCATTGGCTAATAAATAGTTATTAGCCATGACAGGAGGTAACGTACCGAATTAAATAGTGAGGGGCAGCTCTGGATCTTCTTTATCCTTTTTGCCTTGCTCAAACATTGATCTCCCAGAAGAACTTTCTGGCAGTTCTTTCATTGATTCACCGTACCAGTCTCCTTACTATTCTCGAGAACATCTTGATTAGCCACCTCGAGTAGTTTAGGCACTTTAGGACGTGGCAATCCTTGTTGTTGCCTCATCATTCGTCCATAATTCCGTTAAAAACACCTTTGTTGGGTTCTAGTCATCTCATTGAAGGGTATCACCTTTCCTACATTATACTGGAATGAATGTCATACATTTAGTTGGCGAGGTTGTGGCCTGAATGTTCTCCCATTATTTATTGGCCTAAACTGTCTCTCAAAAGGCCGTCCTCTATAGAATGATGTACCTTGCCCTCCAACAGGTTGGATATTTGGAATCAGATCAGGGTGATGGTGATGTTGCCGTATTCCGAGTCTCTCTGTGTTTGCACTCACTTCTCTTTTGCATATTGCACACAAAACGTCTACATCCTATCTAGGCTCCTTCCCTTTGATACGTTCAAAAACACTGGGATGCGGCCCATGATCTTCTTCCCCATCGTCTATAACCAATTTGAATCTTGACCACTTGTTTTTGAAACCAGTCGTCACCATGTTCCCCCCAAGTAGATGTGAGAAAGGATTTTCATCCACTGTCATTTTCTTCTTATNTTTCTTCTTATCTTCGAACGTGATTCGCTCTGATTTGATAGCATCCTATAATACATGAAGAAAGAGCAAACAATTATTAGTCACATGTGACCATGTATTATGTCATTTACAGTATTTTTAACCTTTAATTTGCTCAGAGTCTGGCAATTTATGCTTATCGCTCAATTTTATCTGCTCATCCTTATACAGTTTATCAAATATAAGATCAGCTTTGGTCACATCAAATGAAAACATTTTAGCTTTTTTGTTTTCATCTTTTATAGGCTCATTCTTGCCCGACGCTCTGGGTTTGGCCATTAAAGGACAGGCATAAGCATCCCCTTTAATTAATTCGACCAAACATACTTCAGTTTGATCGTAATATTTATCGTTAACAGTAGAACGTTAAAATTTGGGTCTTTATAATTTATAATAAGTCCATTTACTAGAGTTTTTCATTTGTTCTTCTTCTCTTATCAATTGTTCATATGTTCGCGCTGAGTTGGAAAAGATCAGGAAATTATCTATCCTGTAATTTCTTCTTCAAATCAAAGCTCAAGCAACTTTGAGCGATTTTAACAAATTCCTTCTTAGGCAGAGGTACAAAACATTTGCTCCTGACTATTTTGAATCTTTGAAGGAACCCTTCTGCCTATTCGTTTGGCATTTGTCGTAAATTTGCTAAATCGGCCAAAATGACTTCAGATTTAGTCTTATAAAACTAAGTATAGAACAATTGTTCTAATTGTTGCCATATTTGAATAGAATTCGCTAGCTAATTATTGAACCAGGAGAAAGCTACCCCTATTAATGAACTAGGGAACGGCTTCATTTTATGATAGTCAGTTACTTCACCGCTTTGCAGTGTGAATCGCCATATATGTTCCAGAGTAGACACCTTTACTAAACCAGTGAATAATGAAAATTCTGGCACTTTGTACCCTCTAGGCCACGGATATGCTTGATCTACCCAATCAGGATATAATTTTGTGTAAGTCGGCATAATGACATGACGTACCCCAAAAGCCATTTGATCCTGTACTGTTTCCATAATTTGATTCCTTAACATGACGTTAGGATCATATGAAATTCCTACAGGTTGGTTGACTGGTTGAGTTGCTTGAGGCCTAACATTTGGTCCTTGGTTGGCGACAAAGTTGCCATTGTTTGGGCCATTATTACCGTTAGCCTGAGTATTTACTCCATCATTAACACGCATGACATTCTGTCCATTATTCTGGACATTGTCTCTTATATTTGGATTACCCCCAGATTTGTAATCCCATTACCACCATTCAAGTTTGGTATTCCACTACCCCCCTGATTTGAAGTAGACGAATTGAAGGGTGGTTCTAATCCTTGATATGGGTTCAACCCAGGAGAATTATGTGGTGAATTATGTCCCACACTCGTCATAGTTTGAAAATGACTCCCTATGGGTACAATTGGTTGACAATGGTGAATTATGTCCCACAATCGTCATAGTTTGAAAATGACTCCCTATGGGTACAATTGGTTGACATATTTGACCCACTAATTTATTCATGATTTCGTTCAAATTATTTAGTTGTTTGGCCATATTGTCATAATGTGCATTTTCATTTTGGGTAAATCTTTCCATATTGTGAACGTTTCGTAGATTTACTTATTCAACGAGATCCTGTGTGAGTTCCCCAAGCAATGCGCGCATGGTTCGAGGACTCAACTCCGTCATTAGTTCATAACGACTTTAACTGCTTTGACTTTATCCTTTTGTTCGTGGAGAGCTTTGCTACTCCTCATATCGTTCGATCACAGATTGGACTACTCCTTGTCTTGCTGGTTCTTTATCAGAATTCTTATGAGGCATAATGCTTCATTTTTCGTATCTTCAAACACCATTGCCCCACCGGACGTGCCAAATTGTTTCGCGCGGGTTGTTGCTAACAATTAAAAGAAAAGTTCAGACGATTGTGTAAGGAACAAACCTCTTGAGACAAAATTCCAAAAAGGGGTGCTTTATTGATGAATATTACAATTGGAAAGAAATAGATATTTTAAAGTTAACTAAGAAATGAAATTACATATTCTCTGTTGAGAGTGTTTTATTCGGGGTCTTTTCTTCTATGTCTTCCTTTCCTTTTTATACTCATTTGATAGTTTTTTTGTGAAAAATTGCTTGGAAATCGATTAGTGCACTATAACTACCCACTTTCTTCATGATGGCTGACTTGTTATGGAACTGCCGTCTCTAACTTTTGTCATTACTCTTGTCGTTTAACTGTCTGCAACCGAGATTCTTGGATCGTGGGGTGTGATAAGGTTGCTCAATAACTGCTTCATTAACTGCTGTACTGGATAACCATAATACCTTATATTCGCTCAAATTCAGGACGAATCAAAGGTTTGGACGAAAATGGGATCATCGCTCTGGGCGACAGTAAGACACTTCATTCGCTCAGATTCTTAGCGTCTTGCAAGCTGGGCGATGATGGTACTTGTTCGCGAGCTTCCACTGCATTCCATAATGGTCATATTTAGGCTTTCATCCTGGATTTCCTAGTTGAGATTCATTCCTTGGATTATTCAATTTGGGCTACACTTTTTTTATGTCAACAGTAGTAAATCATAATACACTTGATATTAATTGTGAAATCCCTAAATTTAGGTAATTTGAATTGCTTTTAAAACTCTAAACTCTACGAAATTGACCTTACAGCTTACATATGAAATTTCCCATATTTAAGATAACCAACTATGACTAATGATTACTAATGAGTCATAACATATGGAAATCCCTAAAATTTAGCTAATGCTAATTTAGATTGTGGTTTAGACTCCAAAATGAATGCATATGATCCACATGAAATACTCCAATAATTTATAATTTTAAAATTGGGGAAATAAATCTTTGTTCTCGCATCTGTTATAATGGGAACTATTGTAAATCAAATTCTTTACTTCAACGTCTCCGCCGCCACCGCAATAATAGGATAAGTAATTTACTTTTTTTTTTTTTTTTGTCTTCGTTTTACTACTAGTTTTGCTTCAATTTTGTTGCCTATTCAGAATAAAAGATCATAATTTGATTATTCCCTGTGAATTATATTAAACTTTTATTGAGGTAGGTTTAGGTACCACCATGTCTTCCGTGTCCATCTAAAATACACAAAATGAATCCCTCAACAGCATTATTGACTATACACAAAATACATGGTAGCACCGTAGCAAAATCTTGTGCAACTACCAATGGTTGAGTCTTTTTCTTTATCTTCTTCTGTCGTGGTTGAAGTTCCGTCGCAAAATCTACTGCGGTGTCTGGTTTTTGAAGAAGAAAGAAAATTTCGGCATTGATTAAATTCACAATTAAAAAAAACCCAATTCAGAATTGATTAAGTTGTGCCCGCACTAAACAATATTCCTGGCTCCGCTCCTGATTGGACTGTTTAAAATACAGTTAGTTTTCTCCCCCAATCACATCCTGCCACACTACCTTCTGTCGAAGAATCTGACCAGATTCTTTTGTCACAGTGGCATTTTCCTTTTATGCTGGAGCCAAGCATCTGCACAGCACAGATTAATTTTTGACAGTCCTCTTGGGTATAAATTTCAAATAGCTCCAACAGTAACATAATCAAAGAACCAAATAAACATTGCATAGAGCATTTCTTATGAAAAGTATTAGCAACCTAGAGCAGAGCAAGACGAAATTATATATAGAAAAAGGCTGCAACATTCATAAAAATGAGCAGAAATGATACACCAGATAATTTTTTTTTAGTATCGGAGGAAATTCACTATCGACAAAAGAGTCCTAAAAATAAAAAGCACTCTAAGGGCAATACTTCAACCAAGTTATGTTGCATGTTGCCCCTTATTAAGGTATCTCTATATATGTATGTATGTTGCAATCAACTCACACCACCAACCAGCTACAAGTTCTATCTGGGAACCAGCAAAATATGTTGTCCATGGCTCTAGAGGGTCGTTTCTGTTGATTCTCGCAGAAAATCAACAGCATCTCCATGTCGTTGAAAGCAGAGAACTCAAGTTTTCTGTGGACTTGATCCAGCTTTCTTAGCTTCAATTATCTGATAAATAAAGACAAGAATCATAAAAAGCAACATTAAGATTGAAAATTTTCAAAATTCATAAATATCCATAACAGCACTGCTTACATATTTTTCACTTTCAGCAGTTTGGTGCAATATAATATAATCCCCAGGTTTCAAGCCATGCGTATTCACAAAATCACCTAATCAGGTTTTGACAAAATAAGGTACGAGATCGAATTTAACGATCGTCAAAAGTACCAGAAAAAAGAGAGAAGATTCTTTTGGGAATCATACCGGTGCACTCAAGCACGTACATCCTACTACTATTATTTGGCCAGAATCTGTATTAAAAAGAAAATACAAACTGTTATTACATATCAAACATTAATTAAACAGTTAGTATCTTTATTAAAAGTTACATTGACATTAACTTCTTGTATACACTGCCAATGTATCTTTCCACAGTATTTTGAAGCCATTGGGTACACACATTCTTAGTGAACGTAGAATATTATCTGGTCTTAGCGATGTTATAAAATATATGATATGAAAGAGCATTTTCAGCGGCTAGAATTTCAAGGCTTCGGTTATGATAAAATCAAGGAAGGAGAAAACGAATTGAACTAAAATAACAAAACTGAAAATAAAAACAGAGAACTGGGATAGGCCTGCTGAATAAGCAGGGAAGCAATTGAAATTTATTCAATCAACTTGCTTAAGGAAATACAATGCAACCTATTCTATTTATAGATGAAATGGCTAACAAATTATGTAACAAATTAACAATCTAACAAACTAAAGAAGAGACTAGAAGAAACTAGAAGGAAGAAGGGGCTGAACACGTGCTGGTTATCTTGCTGTTTGGTTGCTGGTCTGTGAACTGGTTGCTGGTTTTGTGAGCTGAAGCCTGCAGGAGCTGGTTTGCATGTTGAACTGGTGATCCGATTTTATTATTCCAACAGGTTATCAAATCCCAGTTTCAGAAACGTAATTCTTAAAACATTAAACTCAGAGCCACCTCGCGATAATTGACTGAGGTAGTGTATACTGATACGAAACAACCTGTTAAAAAACACTTCCAAGCAAGGTGTAAATCGACTTGCCTTGAAGATTTGAACTATAACAAAGGAGCAAAAATGGCACTACAAAATACAAATTCAATAATATCACAAGTAGAAGAAGACATACAAACCGCCCATAGAATTTGCTAAAAATGCATGAAATAACAAATGAGAGGCTATAATTACTGCTTCCTAGTATAAAGATAATTCAGTTTGTGAGAAACCAGAATGAGTTTATTGTGACAGAAGAAAAACAGTTGAAACGAACCTGAATTTGAAACACCATTCGTGAACCCCATCCATATCGAGCATGTTGATAGTAATCCCTTCCTTGGCATTAAGGAAAGGAAGATAAGCCTCAGCTTCTTTCTGAAATGAACCATCATAGTTAGGCTCTAGAACAAGCGTCTGAATAGTAATTATAGTTCTGTGTTACCTAACTGGTGCTTAGTTATCATGATGCTATTGATTATCATTTGAGAGAAAAAGGAATGACAACAAATTCCAGAAAATGACTGCAAAACATTTGGTAGTATAATACAACAATAAGAAGCTAATGGTAATGAAAATTTGAAAGTTCAGTTGCAAACCTTCGGAATTACAATTCGTCTGAGGGTGCTTACATCACTGTTCTTGAGCTGCTTTCTGAAAAGATAGTTCAGCTTTGTAGTATCAATTACCTAAAACATCAAACATTGTGCCTGTTAAGCAATTACCTAAAGTTTGTTCAAATGTTAAGCAATCGGTAGGTTTAGTAGTTAATTTTCATTCTTATGCTATGTAAATACAAGACAAGTAGGAACTTAAAAAATAAATACAAATACTCTAGCAGCGGTTTGGCCAGCACTGGATCTTTGCCTAAAATTAAAGGAGGCTTTCAGCCGCCAACCAATTCTCACCAAAAAAAAAAAAAAAAAGCAACCACCACTAGTTATTTTTTTAAGATTAATTGCAACAGCTGAGTGATCACTTCTAAAATTCGAAGTATTACAATCTTTTGTAAATTGTCAAAGCATTCTATGATCAAATGCAACACTAGTATGAGTGCTTTGTTACTATCAGCATATATATCGCAAGTAGACTCCAGTTGCCAGCCACTTTTCCCGAAGCATCTTGGGCAGTGGTTTCAGATTTTGTTATGTGAAGTCATTACACGGTGCTAGTACTTATTTCAAAGAACAGAATCTCGAATTGGCTATATCTTAATCTTCTTTTATCCAATAGGCTTTTAGGTCGAGCTAGAATGTTTAGGATCCTTCTTTCTGTTTTTTGGCAATGTCACCAGCTGGCGACTCCGAAAATTATAATTGATACATGTCTACATCTGGCATGGAATTTCAAGGGGATGCTTCAAGTCCACCAGCTTTCTATGTTGTATTCCCTTTTCCCCCGAGCCTATTGATGTATGTTTCCCTGGGGCCGGGACCATGTAGACTGCTACCCTCATTTTTTGTTGTTGAACAGAGGTTGTTGAATAGTTCTGACGCCATCTGGGGTCTTTTACTCTAAACGAAGCTTGTAGCTAGCTCCACTCAACCATCTATCTTCGTTATTAAACATAGGTTTCCACATGCACGACTTTAGCGCAGCCGAGATCAATTATGTTGCTGTCTACAAGAGAGGATTAAGACTGTATATTAAGTGCCAAGCAAAGAGACTACCAGATCCTCGTAATCATAACCTCACATGACAGTCTATCAGCATGAAAAACTGAGATAATCAACTTGTCTATTTTTGGCAAAAATACCGTGTTTCAGTTGTGCGCTTCGTTTCCAATGGACCGTTATGGATCTTACGTTTCCATAGTGTCACTTCGAAGCCTATTGACAAATAGGCACCTCCAACAAGGACTAATTCTGGCTTATCTTGGCCTTCTCCATCACTGCAGATGACTCCACCAATAGCCTCCTAGGCCCCTTCAGCAAAAAGGTAGCATGTGGAAAAATGGAAAACAGTGGCAACTTCTACCATTGCTAGGACAAGAGGCGATTTTGGACTAGTGAAGAAGTGTTAACCGTTGTTTGACCTAATTGTGATTTTTGGTTGTCTTATTTTCAAAATGAGTACATATTTTGATTTCGGAATTTTCAATAGAAAGTGAGATTTTTCTATTTAACAACAAAAAATGAGACGGATGTTTGTTCAACAAAAGTTTTCAAAAATTCTCGACGACAATTTTAAGAAGAAAGATAAGCAGAATGACAAGGTGAGAGGTGAGGCCAATGTTACGACTAGATCTAATTATAACCCGAGTGAGGTTTATTGATAATAAACTTGATTACTGCTTTTGCATCTATGTAAAATTTCATTTGCATGAATGATTGCTTGATTCGGTGCATTGTTTTATGTTACATTTCAATATGGTTGATATGTGTTTTTATATTAATTTGAGAGTGATCATATTACTTTGTAATGGGTTGCATGCATAGTGGTTGGGAATGCTATTGTAATGATTGATACTTGGTGTGTTTTTTACTTATTAGGTTCATAGCAGTAGGTATGTCTACTAGTAATTTGGAGTATAGATGCATGGTGCATGGGTGATATGTAAGGGGGGGGGGGGGGGGGAAGAGTGATATTTGAATCACGGGAGGTAATGTGGTTAAATGTTTGAAAACCTCTATTTGTTCAGAATCTAAATCAGGTGGAGTCAAAGAGTGACATTTCTATCACCTCTATTAAGTGAAGACCCATTATCTACCTAGGTTGGAAGAGGTGAAATAGTGATAGAGAAACACTCCATGGACTTAAGATCTGTTGTAGTATACAATTAGAGATGAGAATTAACCAATCTAGTGAGCATGGTTGGTGATGAGATGAGATATATGTTCTCGAGATATGAGTTATGGTGAGATCTTTTATTGGGTCATTTATGTATTGATTGTACGTGTTGACCAATTACTTAATTAACTTGGTACTAGTATTATTTTCTTTGCATGTTGAATAAGTTGAAAAGATCTATGTATTATCCTATAACGTGTGCTCATTGTATGTGTGCTATTATATGCTCTTGATTTATTACTGTATATTTGATTGTACTAGATTCTTGACCTTAATTCTTTGTGAATATATGGGACCGGTATGATTTGTGTTTTGGCTCCGAGACATAGGTAAGGTCTGTGATTTTCAATTTTATTTGTTTACCTTCATTAGGCAAGTATAAATTTTGTATTGTTTACTTGCAGATTCATTGGGTATCAAGGTGGAGATTTGTTGAGTTTTTTGATACCCCATAAATTCGAACAATGATGTTAAAATGTGTGTTGGATTAATTGTATCGACACCACAATTGAATGGCTTGACCCAAGAACAATTTGGGGCCACTGCAACTATTAACTTATGTTACTCGTGGTCCATTCATTGGTTGGACTGCAGTTAGCCCACTTCCCTTTGTTTTGTTGGCCGATCTCAGGTTATGTTACTTGACACAATTTGTGTTTAGCCTACTTGTTATGCTTTGTCCCATCTACCTATTGTTGGCCCATTGTGTTTCCCATCCCTAATTCTAGATAAATAAGCCTCTTTGTTTAGAATGTGTGTGTGCGCGTGCGCAATACAGAGAAAAGAGTCAGCCGTGTCTTGTGCAATTCAGAGTTTTGCTTGGTATCTTCCTTTCTTTTTCTCTCCCTTAGTGATATTGAAACCACCATATTATCCTTTGTGTGTAATGTTCTTGGGCAACCACGAGTGAGGTTTGGATTTAGTTCAAGAAACAAGTGGTTGGCATTTGATTTGTTGGTTAAAACTGAGACCGGTTTGCATAATTGAAGATCTTGGTGTTAATTTCCACAACAGCCGTGTTCCACACCCCACATCCATTGTCGCTTAAACTTACTAGTGGTTTCGAGTTCAAAACGACTCCAAGTATTTGCGTTGTTTCCATATCCTTCAATCTTGATGGATAGTTGTACTAATTGTTACTGTTTCAACTGTTTGCATAGAGTCTATCAATGTTTAAAAATGTTGGTTCAAAGCCACCATCTTGTTTTCCAATGTGGTTGTCCAAGTGATGGAGAATAAGAATAGGAATTGAAGATATCCAAGAAGATTATGATTGAATATTGATATCTTCTTGTTGTGAAATCATCCATCGAATTGAGATGTTAAAGTTATATGGCATAATAATGAAGTATTTGATTAAGCAAAATAATAATAAAAACAAGAAATATGACAGATAAATTAAGAAATTTTATTGATTCAAGAATAATGGAGAAGAAAGAAAATTAAAATAATCATATAATTCTAGTAATCTATTTTCTCACACTTATTAAATTATATAGAAGAGCATAATATTTATAGGGAACATGTAGGGGACGTCCAAACCCTAATGGTCTAGTTGTTGAAGAAGTAGAATGCCAAAAATCGAGTTCAAAACGAAAAATGAAAGAAAAATACGGAAAATCGGAAACAGGTCAGGTGGGCGCCGCGGTGCAACATCTGAGCGCCCCAGTACAGGGTGTTCTGCCCGGAATTTTTCTTTTTTCCAAATTCTTTTCTCCATGCAAAACTCTTCTTCAAGTCCAATACCAATTTCCAACTCCTAATAGGCTTCTGAATAGAACTTCAACTTGACATAGGACTCCAATAACATTCTAAACTGAATTCTTGTTGACATGCACTTCAATTAGAAAATCTTCAATTATTTCAACAAGGAATTCGGGTCATACCCAAATTCTAACAATATCCACATTGACACGAATTCCACCAAGAAATGAACCACTTCTTCAACAATAACCAAAAGTTAATTTCTCCAACAAAACACAATACTCCACCTCTTCCAATGAATCCAAGCATTGCTCTTGTAGAATTATTTCAGATTTCCAAAAAACATAATATTTTATAATTTATCAAAATGGGATGTAACACACTCCAAAGCAGAATCAAATACAAATGCTTTTAAAGAAGGCCCCTTGCTAGATTGTAAACATTCTACTCCACTTAAAACATGCTCAACAAAAATCAGAATCCACATACGTTTTTCCACTGGGTCCGTCCCTAGCAATTGAATACAATAGCACCGTAGGTGATGGTGGTAAAACGACATTACCCATATCTTTGAAACTCCATTGAGCTGTATTATTCAAATCCGACCTTTTACGAGCTCTTAAAGGTATTAACTGAATGTCCACCACGGTACTGAACCTGTGCTGATTAACTATTCTAGATTCTGCACAACCCTGCAAGATGTATAACTGAGACCGCTTCTGTTCATCCAATACAATCTGAGCACCCTTACAAACCTCAAAACTCCACATCCACCTCCACTAAAGAACTCATAACCATTTGAATCAATGATAGACAACGAGATGAGATTCTTCTTCAAATCCGGAACATGTCAAACTTGACCAAATGTTCCAATTGTTCTATCCAAAATCTTCAATTTGACCATACCAATTCCAGCAACCCAACAAGGTGCGTTGTTTCTTATAACCATGGCACATTTGGAAATAGTTTCATATCTAATAAACAAATCCTTATTAGGACACATATGAAACACACATGTTGAATCAAGAATCAAATCTTCTTCCGATTTAAACTCAATGTCAGAAATAGTCAAGAGATCTCCATAACTGACAACGTTCTCAACAAGGTTTGCTTCACCTGAAGTATCTGAATATCTACTTGCAGCCGTCCTTTCTTTATTCTCCAATTTTTAACAATCCTTCTTCATATGCCCCTTCTTCTTACAGTACTTGCAAATCTAATTACTAAATTTAGACTTCGATCTGCCCCTTCCAGAATCACCATGAGCAACCAAGCCTTCTCCATCTCTGGCCTCAGAAACCACATGTTTCATCTTCTCTTTTGAATACAAAGTATCATACACCTCTTCTATGGTGAGAGTATCACGACTATACAAGATCGTGTTTCTAAATGAAGAAAACGAAGCTGGCAACGAACACAATAGAATCAATGCCAAATCTTCTTCATCACACTCTACTTCCAAAGTTTCTAAATCTGAAATGATCTCCTTAAATACAGCTAGGTGATTTCTAATTATCCTTCTTCTGCCATTCGATGAGAGTATAAACACGACTTGAAGTTCAACTTGCTTGTCAGACTTTTAGTCATGCACAATTGTTCTAACTTCAACCATAGAGCAGCTGTTGAAACCTCCTTCAAAACATCCTGAAGAATAGTATTTGATAGATGAATATGAATATGAGAAATTGTCTTCTTATCGTTCAGTAATTTTATCTCCGTGGTCAAAGTTGCGGGCATCTTGTCAATTCCCAACAACGCATCATTCAAATCCAACTGTGTGAGTACTGCACGTATCTTAACCTGTCTAGCGAAAATCTAGTGCTCCGAATCAAAAGCGAAATGTCATACTTTATGGAAGTCATCACGAACAAAAACTTCAAACAAATCAAACCCTGCGTTCTTGCGGAACTGTTGAACCTGGGCTATGATACCACTTGTTGTAAAAGAAACAAGACACCAGAATAAATCTGATACCGCTTGTTGTAAAACCAACAACTGAATTGAGATATTGAAATTATATGACACAACAATGAAGTATTTGATCAAGAAAAAAAAAAATATATGATAAAGGAATTAAGAGATTTTATTGAATTAAGAATAATGGAGAAAAGAGAAAATTATAATGAATCATATAATTCTAGTAGAATGTCAAAAATCGAGTTCAAAACAAAAAATGAGAGAAAAACATGAAAAATGGGAAACATGTTAGGTGGGCACCGCGGCGTCACATCCGAGCGCCCCGACGCCAGGTGTTCTACCCGGAATTTTTTTTAAAAAATTGTTTTCTCCATCCAAAACTCTTCTTCAAGTCCAATACCAATTTCCAATCCCAATGTGCTTCTAAAATAGAACTTTAACTTGACATATGACTCCAATAGCATTCCAAACTGAATTCTTGTTGACGTCCACTTCAATTAGAAATTTTCAATTATTTCAACAAGGAATTTTGTTCTAACACTTCTTACCTCTAAATCTCTCTCTATTTCCCCCCATTCCTTCTTCTTCTCTCTTTCTTCTCTTCTCTTCCATTCCTTTCCCTATTTCTCTCTCCTGTGTTACATTATGTCACTTAAGCTGCCTTTGGGAAGGCTAACCTCGTATGGCTCATGAATGTCATTTATCAAGTCAGCATCACTAGTATGGCACGTTTCTACTTAAAAGCTATATAAAATTTCTTACAATGAAATTTTTTGACTTGAAGCTATGGATGAACTTTTCCTCTTATTCAAACCTATTTTAATTTGATGGACTTGCCATGTCTTGGTGTTGTGTCAGCACAAAAACTAAGCCTTATTCCAGTCGGCTACATACTTTTTTGAATAATGTCATCTAAAATCACTGATGTCAGAACACCAATTTAGGTGTCATTCAAGTGATTGGAAATTTTAAATGTGATTTATCTCCCTATTTTAAAGGTGATCTATCAATTAATGACACTTGTAAACCACAAAAACTGGTGCTAAATAGCATTATTCTACTTTTTTATTCATGATTCCACATTGTTACCTAGATCCTTCTTTAATTTTGGCCAAGCCTCCATCTTCTAACTTGATCTATCGAAGTCACCTATATGAACAAGGCCTCCAAACACAACCCAACCGCGTTAGTCATCTTTCTCTTAATTTGACGCTAGCACCTCCAATTGGTGTATATTCTCATTTTATTTTTATTTTTTTCAATTGATACATTTTTGTACCAACATTCAGACCTTTGATAGGCTCATGCATGAGAACATAAAATCATAATTGTTAATCCACATACATGGCTTCTCCGCATCAAATCATCTTCCCAAGTTCAAGTTATCAGAATTATATAGCAGCATCGACTACTAAATGCATGTGAATACGGAGAATAAAGATTTAGAGGCATGCATGAACACTTGTATAATGGCAAAAAAAAAATTGACAGTTCACACGTACGGGGGGAAGAGGTGGAGGTGGCACATTTGACTTGGGAAAATTGAGGGAATCAAGGCTAGTCCGCCTGGCCCGGGCCATTCTGGAACCTCTGTGAATATTATTGAAGCCCGGCCCGGAGAAAAGATCCTCCACTCCATTCGACGGCTCCTCCTCCTCCCTCTGCTCCTGGCTGCTGCTACTTTTTCGATTCCAATTAGCCTCGAACTTCTCCATTATCCTCTTTTTCGCCATCAAAGCACAACACCCACAACTTAAACTCCAAAAAAGCGGTGGTTGAGCGGCGGTGGTGGTGTTGATTTTTTTGAAGAGAATAGGAGCGTTGGGTGGTTATAAATATTGAAAGTGAAATCTGGGTCTGATTTAATCCACAAAATTTAGCAAAATTACAGTGATGAAAAGGCCAGATTTTAGTGACATTTGTGCAGTGTTCGTTCATGGTGTTTTGTTTTAATGCACAAATGTTGTTTTGGGAAGTGAGAGAGTAAAAAGCAGATAGCAGTGAGTGGGTGTATGATGATAATCTAATGCTAATACTACAAATTCACAAATTTATTGCATTAATTTTATCTTAAATGCATTACAACAGAGAGAGGGGGAGAGGGGGGGTGGGGGGGTGGGGAATGTACAGGTATTGAAAGAGCTCTGAAAATTTCTGGTAACTGAAATTAATGGAGTTTACTGAATTCAATCTTCTTCTACACTCAGAGGAGATGTTTTTCCGCTTCTGCCATGCAACATGAAATCTATTTTTAAAATGCTTAATTTTGAAGATGAAAAATATATTTTTCTTTTTTTGCCATCACATCATATGTCGACAAATGTGTAAATAATTCCTGTAAATGTAGCATAACTCTTTTTTCTTTATAAAGTAAAACTTAAGATAAAGTAATAACGTCTTTTAAATAATAAAATTTTTCGGACTAAATTAGTAATCTCAATAAATGCATATATATGATAATAATTTTATTTAAAATTCTTTCAAGCTCAATGAATTTACTTAATAATGACTATTTATTTTTTTTAAAAAAATCACATCTAGTGGTGATGTATATTATTAACAAAATAAATAGTACAAACTTAAGGAGGGCTGGGCCAGAAATCTCGAGATAGAAAAGTAAAAGAAATATTAATGAGAAACAAAAAATATTGGATCTCACTTGATTTTATCCTTATTATATTCTAGATATCACACATCTCGTGAGGTGCTTATTAGGCGTATCATGTGACTCATACTCACTAGATGATAGCGAGCATACAAACTAATTAAAACCACTTGAAAAATCTCTCAACTCTTCAATCTTTTCATAGACATAGCCAAAGGCATTACCTTCGTAGTTAGTGGCTCAAGGGTGAAAATGTTGAATTTTATGATTTAATTCATAGAATGTTGATAAAATCGTCACTAAAGGTGAATTCCCTTCTACGTTCACCGTATAATTATCTTACATCATTTTGAATTTTCCCATATACTTTATCTTTACTTATAATCGCGTTCTCTTATTTGACGGACATCGAATCATCTTTCTTGATCTCCTAAAATGTTGGCTATAGATAATCCATTGCTTCTCTAAAGATAGGTTCCACTTTAATCCTAAATGGCAAATGCGTTCAAGTTCAGATTTTAAAAACTAGTCCTTGAAAATTTTATACTGTCCAGATTGATCCCCATTTTTCAAAAATTTTCATATCGGTCCTTGAATGATCAAAATCTACTTCTCAAACCTACAGGATCTTCCTTGAACTTTTTGGCATAAGAAAATTGGTCCAGGAGGTTTCGGAAGTTGTCATATAGATCCCATAATTTTGCAAAAGTGTCATTTTGAGCGCTAAAGCTCTAGAACCATCAAATTGGTTTCTAATATTTTGGAGGTATGCAAAATGGTCCCTGAGGTTTTCATATTCTATAATTCAAGCCCTACAATATTAATTAAAATCAATTAAACCGTTTTGTTCAAAAAAATCTTATCACATATTTACTTAAAAAGGTACATGGCCTAATCATGACTATGAATTAAGTGGCGGTGAGTTAGTATATATGGAAAAATCAATTTTAAATCAATTAGAGAAATGCATAGAAAATATGTAAATATGATTATGAATTTAGAAAATGATAAGATGTGATACTTTTTCCAGCAATACTATTTTCAACACCAATTATATCAAACTCGATACAAAGAGAAAAACTAAGACAGTCATTTAAAATTCGATTTGTAACCCTTATCGTATCATAATCCACATTTTTCATGTCTTCCTAAACAAAAATGTTAATAAAAAGTACATCTCTTAAAAGTGAGAAACACACACAAAATGTCAAATGACTTAAAAATAAGAATAATTTTTTTACAACATTAAATGTATCTTCGATTTCGAACTTGCCCCAACTACATTGTCCTCTAAAATTAAACTTTTCTCAACGTCCTTCACAAAATAAAAAATAAAACGTTATACACATATCCTAAAAAGTGACAAAAAATAAAAGGTCACATGAATTAAAAAAAAAAAAAAAAAAAAACACTTACCCTCGTTTTCGAACAAGCCCAACCACACTGTCCTCCAAAATTTGACTTGTCTCAAAATCCTTCACAAATAATAAACAAAAAGTGACACATCTCTTAAAAGTGACAAACACTCAAAAAATATGAATTAAATTAGAGTAATTTTTAGCTATACTTTCAAAAACCAAAAAATTGACATACATCAACTTTGTTAAGGAATATACAATTCAAAACTAAAAAAAAAATGATAAACAATAAGAGAAGTCGAATTCATCTACTAAAATTTAGAAAAATGGAAAAAAAATTCTAAAAAAAATCAAATTCATCTACTAAAAAAGCATGTTAAAAAACATAAAATTCAAAACATTACATGTATTTTGATTCCAAAAACTCACAAAAGTGATATTCGACTTTGTTAAGGAATCTAAAATTCAAAAAAAAAAAGTAATAAAATAAAATAAACTGATAAACAATAAGAGAAGTCGAATCCATCTACTAAAATTAAAAATTTTGAAAAATAATAAAAAATAAAATTCACCTACCAAGCCCCTATTTGAAAACTATATTTTCAAACTATTTTTTCTACATGCTCATTTTCAACCATACGTTCACATAGTAAAATATTCTATACGTAAATTCAAATCTTTTTTTAAAAATTTTTTTAACCACACATTCTCTTAAAACTCTTTTTTTTATTGAACAGGGGCCAAAATAGCATGTTAAGAAACATATAATTCAAAACATTACATGCACATTTGATGCCAAACCAACCCCATCAACTTTGCAATTTCCCATTTGATTTCTCTTAACATCCTTCACAGAAGTAAATAAAAAGTGACATTCATCTCTTACAAAGCCACAAACATTTATAAAAGGTCATATTACTTAAATTGTTGAGGAGATTACATGTATTCTCGACTTCTCTCAACATACTTCACAATATAGGGGGTGTTTGTTTTTTATTTGAGAATTGATTCTCAAATCAATTCTCATTTTCAACTACACATTTTTCAATAAAATAATATTTTTCATCACATCAATAATTTTTTCTTCTTTTTCAACCACACATTTCCCATCATATTACTATTCAAAAATTAATTTTTCCTTCAAAAATCCCTATCAAACAAGCTCATAATAAATAATAAATGACACACATCTATAATATATTAAATATTCCATCAAGTGAGAATAATTTTCTGGACAATTTTAACACTACTACAATTTAATTATTTCAATAGTACCTTACTTTTCATTTTTCAATATATATTTAATTGAATATTAATTATTAAACATGCACGCAAATAAATAATTGAATTGTATGAGAACAATCAAATTGATTCATGAATATGGAATTTAAATAATTTGAATCAATGAATATAGAAAAAGAATAATGTATATACATTTAAACAAAGGGAGTATAAGTGAGCCAACATGAAATTTAATTAATTTGAATTAATAGATATAGAAAAATAATAATTTATATACATTTAAACAAATGGGGTGTACATGAACCAACATTGAATTTAATTAATTTGAATTAATGAATATAGATAAAAATAATTTATATACATTTTGATAAATTGCATTATATTATAGATTAAATGAATAATATTGAAATTAAATAAGTGTACATTAACATGAATAATTTATCTACTCCGATACTAATTGAATAGCTCCCAAATTATAGGATCTTTAATATTTTATATTCTCCTAGAATAATTTATGATAAAATGAATAATCTTGAAAATAAATGCGTGTTCATGAATTTGAATAATTTATTTACTCCTAAGATAATTGAATAGCTCTCAAAACATGTGTACATAAACTTGAAGATTTAATGTTAAATTTTATATATCCATAAGTAAATGTTAATTAGTATACATGCACATACATGAATAATTGAATTGTAGTATTTCAAGAGTAATTGAACAACCCCCAAAATATATAAAGTGTACATATATGAACTCGAAAAATTAATTGAGTGAATTATAGTAGGATATAGAAATTAATGTTTATTATTATCATACACGTAAATAAATAATTGAATTGTATAAAAATTTCAGTTCACATAAACAGTTTTTTAACTATTTTTTTATATTCATTGATTTTCAAATATCATTTTTAAAGTGTTTATAAAATATTTTCAAAATAACGTGCAATGCACATTTAGCTGTAACTAAGTCTCCCAAAAGTGAGAAACACTTAACGAAGGTTACATGAATTAAATTAGTTTGATTCTCAATTGTATTTTGGGAAACTCAAAAGGTGACGTACATCTCCTAAAATATTTAAAATGTAGCTTACTTTTCAATATTATCGTTTTTTTTTGCCATGCGGGACCTAATTTCAATGAGAATATTAGGCTTAGTACCCTTTTTTTATAGGTGTTTTGATTAATATCCTTAAACTCTAATTAAACATTTTAATGAAATATTAATAATGTCCAATTGTTAAAACTAAAGCCCAAACCACATTTCATCCCTCCTCAGAAACGTATTCGGACCAAATTGTATCCTCCCCCAAATTGTTTTTCAAATTTTTCATCAACATCATCCTGTTTTTCTCAAAATTTCGATGGACTTTGAAGGTTAATTATATTCCAACATCATTCATCCACGAATTCACACTTCGATCCATAAAAATTTCAAGAAATCAAAGGTAAATTGGCTCAACTTTATGGGTTTCGAAATTTTACTTCTTTGTCTTAAATTCTTGCTC